TAGTGGTCACAAACTCTACAGGGTGCATTTAACCATAAACAATGTGCACAGAAGGTTAACTATAAGAACCTGAGTCTAATTTACTATGGTAACATGGCCTGACCATAAACTCTTATGACTATATTTATAAGCAGGTCATACACTCTCACTGTGATGGTAAAGAAGAGTCATGAATGATGTATTTCTTAAGGATTTAGAAGAACCATGTTACCATTTCAGTAGAAAACCGTGGGATGCAAAATGCAATATTCCATATGCAATATGTAGTTATCCTGAAAGTGAAGCTTTGAATGTAACAAATCCTCTGTCTAAGGTTATTTATAGAATAGTCACTTGCCACTAGGTGATGCACTAGAGCACCGGCATCTCAGACCAAAAGAAAACGTGCACTACGGCCCACCAGACTCCATTGACAAAACCAGTCATTTTACCTCACAGATATTCATGAAACACAGTACAAACTGGACAGAAAGAAAATCAAACTCACCGTCTTTGTTAGACTTTCCAACAATCACCAACTCTGGTTTGATCAAAGGAACGCTCACTTCAATCACTCGCCACCACACGCCGTAGACAAAAGTAGACATTTCTTAGTCAGACTTTGAACTCTTCGAAACAAACATCAACTCTGGTTTGGTTGAAATGAATCCTTAATCCACATGACCAGATGGCCAGACAGGTTTTGTAAACAAACCACAGAGGCTGCGATAGCAACACAGGCAGAGGGACAGTGACATCATTCTCTGCTCGGGTCACCATGACTCCACTATATCTTTACATAGCTAATAGTTGTTTTCTGCTATATTAATGTTTCAAACTCATATATAAGCTTTGATAAATAGTTAAAAATGTCCATGACAATCCAAACATTTTACAACCAGTGACAGACACTGATTTCTATCTTACATTACACTATTCCTTTGTATATGAGTACCTGTCTGAGGATGAAACTGGTGGAGGTGGTGCTGCCATCCGAACGCTTGAGTCGGCTCCTCCTGGAATAAGTCCCTCGATTCACCTGCGTAGATTTAAAAAAAAAAAAAAAGGTCTCAACCAGCAGAAATACTTTTTATCTACAATGTGTCTCTAATACACGATGCAAGGTGACATTCATGCTTCATTCAGCTAACCACCCAGAAGACATGTGACACAACCGAATGTGGCTTGTACTGCATTATATGTTTGTCTTGCCTACTTACTTTTCTCCTTACCTCCGGACTTTTTCTTTCTTTCTTTCTATTCCTCTTCCAAAACGTCCAAATATACCAGCAGAGTTCATCTCCAGGGAGCTAAATTAATTATCTGCCAGTGATTTGCCCCATTTCTGTTCAAGTCTCCAGAGTTAATGACAATGTCACCGTTAAAAAGTCAGAGCCTACTTCCCTGAATTTATAAAACAGGGCCATTAATCTGGGTCACCATCTCTCTTCTGTCTCTCAATTCAAGCCACCAGTCGAAAGCCAAGTTAGCTAAGTCTATGAATACCCGGCTATTAATATCAGCGTGCAGCCTCTAATGATCAATTGAGCTGAAAAATTAGTTATCAGTTAATAAAAAGACACATTTCCTTCTCTTTGCAGACAGAACCTCTGCTACTTTTATGAGGCACTCAACACATTACACACCTGAAACAACATTAAAGTCCTTAAAGATAATATTTAATGATCTGGTATATTTGGTATAAAGTGTAAGCAAGTATTTTGTTTCCGTAAAGTTTTTATTAGCTGATACTGGCCCACGTGCGGGATATGACTTAAAGAGAATGGCAAAATCTTGGAGAGGTAGATACGCGAAGGTTACAGTGTAGCTTTTAAAACATCAAGTGGAATCAGATGCTGTATTTCAAGAAAGTTTTGAGTTTTTATTGTGAATATTTTATGTAGTATATTGGGTCAGCGCAGAAGGAATAGCGAGAAACAAACATCTGTGCACACTTTAGTCCTCAAGAACCTGGCTGACTCAGTCTTATGAGTTATTTATTCAATCAATAACCTGATAACACTTTAAATATTAATCATAAAACACTTTGGTTATTCCAAAAAAAAGAAAACCTTAACAACTTGAGAAAATATAAATCTAACTTTCTGCATGTCAAGAAGGTCAAAACAATGGAAATGTATCAGTGAGGCAAATAAATGCCTAATAAAGCATGTTTTGAGTCGTTTTTAATATTTAAATTGTATTTAATTTATCTCCATGACCATACAGCATACAGCTGGGTATTTAGCACCAGTCGTTTTTACTATTTATCACTGTTTTCATGAGAATGGGTCTATGAACAAACTGCAATCCGTGCTAACAGTCATATATCAGGGTAAGTTCTCACAGTCTCAATTATGGCGTCTTTTCTGGCAGGAAACATTTCAGTAAAAGACTTACAAAGGTTTCTACCGGAGACTTTCACTTGGTGTAAAGTGTGTCAACCAGCCCCCGTCTCCACTACATTTTAATGTAACCTGTAACCTGTGCCAAATTCACAGCGGGACTCAAGCTTTTAAAGTGTTTTCTTTCTTCTTACATAAAGAATCAGTGCTTTTCTTGTGTGTGTCTGCTGCCTGCAGTCTGCTAAGCAAGTAAAAACCGTCGTGTTTTCTGAAGTAGCTTAGCTAAAATGAACCGACCTGAAAGATAGGCGCTTGGATGCCCTCGCCAATCTTGTTCCGTATGTAGATGTGTCGGGACATCTCGGCCAGGACATCGGTCCAGAGGGCTGGCTGCTCCGGTCCAGCCCAGCGGAGGGGTGGCGGGTTCCGAGATGCGTGCTCCAGCTTCACGCCACACAGAAGAACATGAGCGCTCGCGAGCCGCCGCTGTCTGTCCACCTCGAGACAGGTGTTCGCTGTGTTCCTGCTGCGCGCGCTGGGACGTTCATGCACACTGCTGCCGCTCGCGCCACTCAACAGCAGATGCGCCCGAATGATGGACGGAACTATTTTAGAAACCAGGGGGGGAGGTGGGGGACCTAAATTTAGCCTGAGGAGACAATAATGAGGAACAAGGTAACTATTTTAGGCTCAAAGCAGCAACATAGAGTGGGCTAATTAATGAGACACATTTAGGCTACAATTTATTGTAAAAAAAAAATAAAAAATAAAAAAAAAAGAAGAAGAAGAAGAAAAAGACAAGAAAGAAACATTTCTATTTGCTTCTGTTGCTTCTGTAAATTTCACCAAAAGTTAGTATTAGATAATGCATCATTTTACAAACTTACAAACAGGGGCGTTTCCAGACTTTTTTTTTGACTGGGGTGGCACAGGAGGGGCACTGACTTCTGCAGGGTTGGCATGAAGTATGTGTCTCAGCTTTACACTTGATACACTCGATGAAAATAACACATCTACACCACAAAACTGTTTGGTTTTTGCCCCAAACTGTGTGCAAAGTGGGCATGTCTTCAAAGGAGAGACTTGTGGCTACTCATAGAACCTATTTTTATTTAGAGATCCTGAGGTCAGAGGTCAAGGGATCCCTTTGAAAATGTCAGTTTTTCCATCGCCAAGATTAATCCCAATTTTTTTTGTAGCAATTTTTGGGGGTTATTTACCCCCACCGTTTCCCTGACATTGCTGATACCAACGGGTGCGTTCAGTCAACTAGTTTCATATGATTCCAATATCTTTAGCTTGCTTTAAAACAGACAGCCTCTGAAAAACAGATAGAGTGGCAGAGGTAAGGATAATGACCAATCACATTTCAGCGGTGGCCACCCAAGGCCAACCCCTCTGGACACGCCCCTGAATACAAATAATTATTGTCCTTATGTAGGTAATCAACTGGGGAAGTTTCATGGTGATATCTATTAGTTTATTTTTTATTTTGTTCACCTGTAGTACGAATCAGGCACACGCATATCTATTAGGTTGTTTTTGCCGTTGTGTTGTTGATGGTTCCAACATTTTTGGGCTTGTGACCCTTTAAAATTGACTTCTTTCTTTATGTGTGTTGCATAAAGATTGAATCTATGTCTGACTTTTGACCATTGATTTTTTATGTATATGTTATGTTTGTAGTGCCAGAATACCCTAATGTTATGTCTTTTTGTTCAGAGTTTTGAGAAAATTGTGTTATTTTGCAAATAAAGTTATATGCTGTTTATACACGTTTATAGTAGTGGTATGGAAAAGGAGGAGAGTTTAAAGGTGTCTTTATTTTAGAAGCTAATGTTAATGTTTGTTATACTGTGTATGAGACTAACACAGCATGTTCTTCTTTTGAGGAAACGCCATGCTGTCTCTCCCTTTGTCCAGCAGATGGCAGCATTATTAAGATTAAAGCAGCTGAGGATGTTTTTAGAGCCCACTGTCATGTGTAGGGTTTTCGCTGCTGCAGGTACAGAGATGTTCCACAGACACCTAAAATGACGCATATGGAAGAACACAGTATATTTCTGTTTGCAACACTACATATTTAATATCCATAATATTTAGATATACTTTTTGTATAATAGTTTTTGAGTGATAAGCTTGTGTGGATTTTTTTTTATGTTTATGTTAATCTCATCATGTTTAGGGTTGAAAGCTTAGCATTTATTGTGTAGGAATGCTGAATAATTATTTTTTCTGATATTCTAATTTTAAACATAAACCTCCACATATCCAAAATACATTGTGCGAGGATAAATTGTTTAAGAAGAAATTTGGGGATCCTTTTTAACATGTCATTTGTAAATATATGTATAACGAAATTTAATAGGTTTTAAGTACTAACACCTGCATGGTCTACTTGTTAGCAGTCTGGCTATATTTGCCAGTACATATATGTAAATATAAAGTGTTTATCATCAACCTGGGGCACTGTTTATGTATTTTATGTGAAACACCACAGCTGCAATAAACTCAGATATTGAGGAATTTGTCCCAACTTACCACTGGTATCTATAGAAGCCAAGAGCGGCCGTGGTTGCAGTTATTTTGTTAATCTCGAGATCATAAGTGTTTTACTGCTCATATTGTGGTGTGCTTAACTATGATTTGTGATCTGCCTTTTTGACACATTTTCTATATTAAATTATAAAAAAATAATTATAAAAATAATAACAATAATCTGTAGTTGCAGAAATATTGAAGTTCAATCAAGTTTGAAAAAAAAAACTCTTATTGTTTGAATTAAAAATACAAGTTAAAATTCATTTTATTCTGAAAATCTTATTTTTTATATATTATTATCTTGTTTTCCAGGAAAACAAAGGGTAGTCTTTTTAGATAATATTTTAATATTTCAGTAATATTTCATCTCAAAATGACCCTTTCATTTGTTGAGAAAATATATTTAACCTTCTACCAAAGTGGCCGCTCCCTGCTTCTGTAGATTTCCGTAGCTTTCAACCATTCATAAGCACCTTCATGGGCTGCATCCTTCGAACAATGTAGTCTCTGAATTGAGACACAATTACTTAACCCATTGCGTGTTGGTCAGTTGCTATGTTGTGTGTTGTATGTAAAAAGATGTTATATGCAAGTAGAAGCCACCAACTTCTGTTTTTATTTTATTATTTTCTACATTAATATGGGATACTATGAAATGAGCAAAAAAGCTAAATATGTTTTCAAATTAGCTACTTTGAAAAATTTAAAATTTAAAACATATTTTACTTTGTTTTCAGTTTTTCTGCTTACTACCGCTTGAACTGAACAAATGACAAATAACACCTGTGTCGTTTGGTTTGTGGTGCAGTACACTTGCACCAAAGCCCTGCAGAGCTATAGCTACAGGCACATTTTACATGTTACTTTTAGAAGCTGCAAGGCTAACAGCAGTCGTTTTTCTTTTCAGCCCTGCTGGTGCACAGAAATAAACAAGAACACTTTGCCGGTGATCAGCCAAGCTCCTCCATCCATCTCCACGGATTCAGACATCCAAGATGCTGAGTGGTTCACATGTGTGGTTTGCTTTTACCTGAGTGTATGTGCACTCACCTGGCCTACAAAGCAGTTATATGGACAGCCTCAAAATATCTTAGTCACGATGCTTTAAATAGCCATGTTCTCCTTTAAGCCATCTGTTAAACCTATGTACGTGGAACCACTTTATTACCTGACTCTGGATGAATGGATAAAAATGTCATGGTGCAGTGGCACGGATATCAAAAGTAAGCGGAAACTTTATCTGTGGTTTATACAGGAAAAGCATGTGATATGCAGTTCCAGAAGCGACAAATGTCACGGTAACAGCTCTCTGTGTCTCTGAACACTTATATCGTCCATTGAACAAATGAAAAGGACCCACTTTTTTCGTGGATTTATGTCTTTACGTGTTTAGAGACACTTTGATCAGACAAATCTTCTAACAAGTGGATGCGGTGGATTAGCTGAGTTTAAAGTAGGAGGATTAAGCTGTTTTGCTCTCTTTTTAGCAGTGCAAGTAGCATGGTCTGTCAGTCGGTCCACCACATCGGTCCAGACTGAAATGTCACAGTAACTATTTAATGGCTTGCCAGGAACTTCAGTACAGATATCCATAGTGCACAGATGAATAATCCTGATGACTTTGGTGATCCCCTGACATTTCCTGTAGCGCCACCATGAGGTTAACATAGTAGTTTTGAGTGAAATATCTCAACAACTATAGGACTGATTGGTAGCCGTACACACATTCATGTCCTCTTATGTCAAGTAAAAGTGTAATTTGTCCAATAGCTGGGTTAAGTAATGGCATTCCCATCAGCCTCAGCTTTAGCTTTACTTACTACTTACGGTTTGAGTAATGTGGGAGCCAGCGGGAGCCCATAAGAAACGGTCTGAGCTACCATGTGCGGGTCTCTAATACATTACCACAACCATTATTTAATGACAAATACTGCATTTTTCAATGTAATAAGTCCTATTTCCGTTAACGTTGTGGTACATTAGCTACTACTCTCTTAGATTCTGTATTGACTGCTTGCTTTGTATTACAACAGCTCGTAAAACATTGCATCCCCCCACTACTGAAGCGCTACATAGTGCGCCTATGATACCAAAAAGGGCAGAATTCTCTCTCTCATGGAAAGGGCACCCGTTATTATTTATCTATCTGCGCCACAATGTTAGTTAGAGACCACAAAGCTCAGATTATAATTCAAACCCTATCAGCAAATATCCGCAAGCTAACACGCTAAACTAATATGGTGAACATGGCGGACATTATACCTGCTAAACAGCATGTTTGCATTGTCACTGTGAATATGTTGCCATGCTAGTGTTAGCATTTAGCTCTCAGAAGTTTTTCAGGTATCTGTACTTTCTGTATTTATTTTTCGGACTTTTTACGTTTTTACTCAAATATCTGTACTTTCTACATCAAGACCGGTACATGAGACGTAACAAGACAACTTTTGAATCAGTACTATTACTTTTACAAGAGTCTTTTCTGTACTTCTCCTTGCGTTAACAATGTGTGTACATTTTATGTCATTTATGCTAGCTCCAGGCAATATACTGTGCCTCACAGAGCTGCTTACATGGCTGTAGACCAGTCTATTAGACTGGTCAGTAGATGTCAACAACAAACTACAGTAGTACAACTGACTATAGTACAACTGGCTCCCTTATTGAATACATTTACTGCTATCAAACAGGAGCACAGTATTATTTCCAAATACTTGATTTGATTAGGTTGTGTATTATGGTACAGCAGGTTAAGAAACAACCCTCAAAAAGTTCCAGGGTTAGGGTTAGGTCTTTGTTGAGCTATTGTCTTGCCCTGAACTACATTGACCTCTAAGGCAGATCCCCCCACCCCCCAGAATTATATATGCATGTGTTAAAAGATGCTTATGGTTCAGATGAAAGCAAAATTTTGGGGTTAGGGTTTGCCACATTTGGCTCAGAATTTATAAGAAATTACAAAAATACAACCATGGTGCTGAAAGAACGACT